GAGTTTTGGTTAATATTATTTTTCTTCAGTTAGAAAAATATTAATATTGTAAAATTATTATTTATTATATTTAATTCAATTAATATATAATTCATACACTTTGAATTTCTATCCCACTTCATCCCAAGTTACTAAATATTTTCCATCATTAGTTAATGCTCCAATCATACCATTTGATTAATATTTTATCTATGAGATTATTTAATGGCCTTCATTTGATTTTTTGATCAAATAAACATAATTTTTATGTTTTACAATCATTAAATTCTTTTTTTTGTCATAACAGATTGGAAAAAAATTGAGATCAGATTGTTAATCATTTTTGTTTAGTCTTAGTTCCTTTTCAAAGTTTTCTTGATATTTTTAATTTTTTAGTTCAAATGTGCTTATACAATCCTTGCTTACTTAATTTCCTGTAACAAAAATAAATTAGTCTTCATTTATAAAGCATAATCTGCATCCAAATTCTTAAATTGATTATGTAACTACATATTCAAATTTCCATTTTTGTTTATTATCTTATTTCCAAATTATTAGCTACTTATCAGCTCCACAAGAAACCAAAGTATCTTCGGTTTGATTTAAGCATAAACTATTAACGCTACTTTTATGTTTGTCTAATGAATAAAAATAGATTAATTAATTATTAACAAAATCTATTTTCCAAATTTTTATTGAATTATCTCTTCCTCCAGAAACAAGTTAATTTTCAAATTGATTTAAAATTAAACAATCTATGCAATTGGTATGCTATAAATAAGATTAGGAACTCTTCCATTCTTTTTAATTAACTTATTTCCAACATCGAATAGAATTATCAAAACCGGCAGATAAAAAACTATTGCTATTCTTACTAAATTGAAGACAAGATATAGTTTAAGTATGTCCATTAATTGTGCTAATTTCATTCATTCTTCCTTGCTCAAAATTCCATACTTTAATTTTACTATTAGACGCTGAGATCATGAGCGATCCAGATAAATTAAAAGATATAGCATAACAAGTAACAGTTTATTTAATTGAATCATCTATTAATTTAATATGATGGTTTAAATTTAAATTGATTAAAGTTCTCTTACATTATGAATATAATTCTTAATTCTAGAGAGCAGATAATTTCTCATTAACTTTGATACAAAGTGAATTATTAAGTGTAGTTATTTAACCAATAATTTATTCTTAATTCACTTAGTTTTCCATTTAATTCTTAATTATCATTTCTAATTCATCAAAAAAACTATAATTTTAATTCTGTTAACCAATATTTTAAAGATTTTTGATCCATTCTGTTGAATTAGATATTAAT